ATCTGGGAGAATGGAGCTAATGGAGGAGATTTGAGCTGTGGTTGAGGAGTGGAGAAAGGACTGCATGAAATGAAAAGGGTCAGGCTTTGATTAGGTGCTTTATCTCAGCACAAGGAAAATGTCCCAGGAAAGATAATGATTAAAATGCTGAATTTAAGAGAATTCCTTGGTGTCTGTGCTGAGTCAGGAGCAGGGCTAGAATTCCTTTTCTTTTTTAAAATGAGTGCTGATTGTACAGCATAAGACCAGGCTGAGGAACAGGATTAAAAGCAGTTACTTTTTTGTTCAGTTGTTTTTTTGTCCTGTCTGACCCTTTGTGAGCCTAGTTGGGGTTTTCTTTGTGAGATTACTGGAGTAGTTTGACGTGTCCTCGAGTTCATCTTAAATATCAGGAACTGAGGCAGACAGTGTCAAGTGACTTGCTCAGGTCTCGCTAGAAAGTGTCTGAGGCCTGTTTTGAACTCAGGAAGATGAATCTTTCTGATTCCTAGCCCATTGCTTTATATACTGTGTCACTGCTGCCCCAGCAACAAGTTGCTCTTGTGCAATCTTCATAAAGCATGTGGATTTTTCCAAACAAACTTTTAATAGTATCTTTCACATCTCCTAAACTTATCCTAATATATGGATATATGGATCTGGGTGTCATTTGTTCGGGTAGAATATTTGAATCCTTTGGGAAAGAGCTTATGCTTATCAAGTGTCAGTCAGCCTATAGGCATTTGTTAAGTACTTACTGTGTACTACTGTGCTTAAGGCTGGGAATACAAATAAAAGTTGAAAGAAAGACAGTCTCTGCTCTCTAAGAGCTTGTACTCTAATAGGGGAATAAGGCACATAAAAAGAAACTGAAAAGTTGGGTTTAGAGGAAGATACTTGCCTTGGGGCACATTAGAGAAGGTTCTGAATGCAGCCTAGAGGAGAATGAAGAAGTGGCTAGCTTGAGTGCCTTCCTTAAATGGAAGTTCTTGGAGGAGCCATCCAATCCGAGGAAAAGGTCTTGGAAGTGGAGGATGCTTCCACTGTGTTAATTCCTTGGCTGGAGTGAACTCTCAGGCTGAAGTGGTTCTTAAGACGTGGTAGGGAAAATCAGAGTGTAGACTGGAGAAAAATGAAGACAGAGCTAGGACCAGGGGGTAGAAGGTAGAAGAAGACAGGTTTCAGGACAGTAAAGGATTCCATCAGTATGATGGTATATTTAGAGAATCCTAGAGAAGTAACTAAAAACCTAGTTGAAATAATTAAAAATTTTAGTAAAGCTACAGGATATAAAATATAGCCACATAAATTGTCAGCATTTCTATATATTACCAACAAAGTCCAGCAGCAAGAGATAGAAAGAGAAATTCCATTTAAAATAACTGTGGACAACATAAAATATTGGGAGTCTATCTGCCAAGACAAAGCCAGGAATTATATGTACACAGCTACAAAATAGTTTTCACACAAATAAAATCAGATCTAAACAACTGGAAAATTATCAATTGCTCATGGGTAGGCCAAGACAACATGAAAAAATGAGAGTTCTACCCACATTAATTTACTTACTCAGTGCCATACCATTAAACTACCAAAAAAAATTCAGAGCTAGAAAAAAATAATAAAATTCTTCTGGAAGAACGAAAGGTCAAGTATATTAAGAGAATTAATGAAAAAAAAATGAAGGAAGGTCACCTAGCTGTAACAGATCTCAAACTATATTATAAAAAGATAATCATCAATACAATGTGGTACTGGTTAAAAAATAGAGTGGTGGATCAGTAGCATAGATTATGTAAATAATATACAGTAGTAAACAATCACAGATTTCTAGTGTTTGATAAAACTTAAGCTTTTGGGAGAAGAACTCACTATTTGGCAAAAACTGGTGAGAAAACTGTAAAACATTATGGCGGAAAGTAGGTATACTCAGCAGCTTGCACCATATACCAAGATAAAGTCAAAATGGATATGTAATTTAGACATGAAGGGTAATGTCATATGCAAATTATTAGAGCAAGGGATAGTTTACTGTCAGATCTATGGAGAAGAGAAGAATTTATGACCAAACAAGATAGAGAAAGTATTATGAGATGTAAAATGGATCATTTTAATTATATTAAATTAAAAGGTTTTGCACAAGTAAAACCAATTCAATTAAAATCAGAAGGAAAGCAGAAAACTGGGGAAAAATTTTTATATCAAGTGTTTCTGATAAGGGGCTCATTTTTCAAATATGAAGAGAACTGAATCAAACTTAAAAGACTATAAGTCATTCCCCAATTGATAAGTGGTCAAAGAATATGAACAGCCAGCTTTCAGATGAAGAAATCAAAGCTATGAATTGTCATATGAAAAAATGCTCGAAATCACTATTGATTAGAGAAATGCAGTAATACAATTTTGAGGTACTACCTCATACCTATCAGATTGGCTAATATAACAGAAAAGGAAAATGATAAATGTTGGAGTGGATGTAAGAAAATTGGGACACTAATGCACTATTGGTGGAGTTGTGAACTAGTCCACTCTGTCTGGAGAGTAATTAGGAACTATGCCTAAAAGGCTATAAAATTGTGTATACCCTTTTATCCAGCAATACTACTACTATGTATGTATCTCAAAGATATCCAAAAAAGGTGGGAAATGGCTTATTTGTACAAAAATATTTATAGCAGCTCTTTTTGTGGTGGCAAAGAATTAGAAATTGAGGAGATGTCCATCAATTGCGGAGTAGCTGAACAAGTTCTGGTGTATGATAGTGGTGGAACAGTATTTTACTTTAAGAAATGATGAGCAGGATTCTTTCAGAAAACACCTGGAAAGACTTTCATGAACTGATACAGATTGAAGTGAGCAGAACCAGGAGAACATTATACATAGTAATAGCAATATACTATGATTATGAACTGTGAATGACTTAGCTATTCTCAGCAATACAATAATCCAAGACAATTCCAAAGGATTTATGGTGAAAAGCTCTCTTTACCTCCAGAGGAAGAACTGATGGAGCCTGAGTACAGATCAAAGCACATTATTTTTCACTTTTAAAAAAAATGTTTTGGTCTATATTTTTTTTTTCACAACTTGTGCTAATATGAAAATTTGTTTTACATGCTTGCCCATGTATAACCTTTATAAAACTGCTTAACATTTAAGGAAAGGGGAAGGAAAGGAGAGAGAGAATTTCAAACCCCAAACTTAAAAAATGTTAAAAATTCTTTACATATAATTGGGAATAAGATAAAATATTATTCTAAAATTTTGCCTCATGAGCAGCCCTGGAAGACAGATACTGGAAGAGGAGCATAGAGGGAACTATTATGGACAACTACCATATTAATGCTTACATGTGAAGACTGAATTTCTTCTACTCCACTGAGCCACAGGGCAGAGACAAGGACCTTCTCCTGTTATTTCCCTGTAGCTCCCACAGAATCACAGCATCTCAGAGAAAGACACCCGATCTAGTCAGAGGGGCCAACCTTGGGGCCAAAATATTTCCCAGGGTGGCCCAACCAGATTCAGATGGGAATGTTTAATGAAAGAAATAAAAATGCAGTACAACATAGATAATTTGCACTCTTCTAAATCAATTATGTGGCCCTAAGGGATTCATTTCTATTTGGGTTTGACATCACTGGTCAAATCTAACCTGTACCTAATCAGGCCTCTCTTTTACTTATAGGCTTATTTGAAATATATCTACACATATCTATATATCTACATATAGATAAATAGATATAGATATACAGATATTATATTTATTTTTTACATTTATTATCTCTTTCTCCACCTGCCCCCCCCACAGAACAATAAAAATAACACCAACAAAGTAAAACCCTCTCATGCTTAGTCTTCAAATACTGAAATTCAGCTTGCATATCCCTGTCTTACTCCCACTCCCCCAACTTCTTCATCTGACCCACACATAGCAGTGTGGAGGAGATTGCCAGGTGGTACCATGTATAGAACACTAGACTTGGAATCAGGAAAAGACCTGATTACAAATTTGGCTTTAGATAAGCTCTGTCTGCCTCAGTTTCCTTAGCTCTAAAGTGGAGAAAACAATGGCACCTAATTCACAGGATTGTTTTGAAGATTAAATGAGATAATATTTGTAATGTGCCTAAGGCTACCTGCACCACAGGAGGTGCTTAATAAATGCTTCTTTCTTTCTTTCCTTGTTTCCCATCCCCCTCTGTATCCTGGTTATTCTCCTATGAACATCTTTCAGTTTCGCAATGTCGACCTTCCTTTTATCCCCCAACAGAATACAAAGATCCCATCCTGACTTGACCAGAGCAGAGTATAGAAGGACTAACCCATGCCTCCTTTTGTACCCTATGCTTCTTTTTTTTTTTTTTGAAACTAGGCAATGGGGTTAAGTGACTTACCCAGGGTCACACAGCTAGTGAGTGTTATGTGTCTGAGGCCAGAATTGAACTCAGGTCTTCCTGACTTCAGGGCCAGTGCTCTATCCACTGCTCCACTTAGCTGCCCCTGTGCTTCTCTTAATGAAGCCTAAATTCACACTAGCTGTTTTGTCTGACTTGTCACACTGTTGACTCATAATGACTTGCAAACCCAGAAGTTTTTCATATAAACTGTTGTGTATCCCTGTTTCCCCCTTTCTGGCACTTGTCCACTTGGTTTTTTGAACCCAGGCATAGGACCGACCATCTGTGTAGGCTCTGACTATGAAGGGAGATTCTGTCCAGCCTGTGCTGGACCTGCCCCCAATGAAGTCCATGCAAACATGGACTTTTACTGATAGTCATTCAGGCAGTCATGAGGGTATTAGAAAGGATTAATCTTAAGCTAATTTCAGATACAACAGATGAGTTTTAAAAAACCATTCTACAGTAGCTTCTGCACACACACACACACACACAGATTTATAGACACCAAAACATGGAAGGAAGGATGGGAGACAGAGGTGACTTGACTGAGGATACAGACATCAGGGTTACAAAGAAATTCAGCTAAAGACTGAACAAAGTGTCTTTGTGTTTTCACAGCCTCTCACAACATGGCTTAAGTGAAGAATCAAAGAAAGCATTGACCAACCTAAAATCAAGGAAATCTTTTCTCATCATTATAGAAAAATATGAAGTTGCTACCAGAGTATTCTTTGACTGGGATGCTGAAGACACAGTGTAACCCTTGATCTGCCCGCTTACTGGGTGACTTTGAACAAGTCACCTTTCCTTTACAAGCGTCAATTTTCTTATCCAGTGTGAAGGGAATTGTGATTTTTCGTATTAATCGATGGGATTTATGTAATGAATATACTAAAAGATTAGATTCTCAGATTGCTTCTTCTGGCTTGAGAGTCAGACCTATAATGCAGCTTGAAATGATCAAACCCTTAACTACACTCTGACAATCACTGCATTCTTGTGACTGTGTACCTTAAGTGAAGCAAATCAATGATTGTAGAACTTTTTCCTGTCGCAGAACTCTGGTCCTGTGACCCACCAAGTAATGACCCCCAAGGACCTGAAACAACAATGTTCCCACAGGACTCCAGGACCCCTGTATTGTGGACTTGGGGGCTTGTAGTGGGAAACCACTCAGGCCCTGGGAGATGAGTTTTTGTAATCCACCTCCCCTCCTCCTTCCCCACCTGTGATTTATGTATATCATCTCTACCTTCACCAGAGAAAGGTGGAATTCTGATCAAGAGAATTCCCAATTTGCAAATCTGTTCCTCATAATTAATTAAACTGCTACTTGATTTACTGGCACTCCTGTCTGTAGGCCAGTTTTGTGTTGCACCAAGTATTCACAGGTTAACGAGTGGCTCAGTAAAATGCTGTTAACACCATAGGAGATGATTGAACTAGGTGGTCTCTAAGGAAGTCCTACTGCCCATGCCATGGGCTGCCTAGAATTAGAAACCTCTTTCTTTGCAGAGCTCTCCCTACTGCCATTAATATCTAGAAAGTCTCTTCTACTCATCTTTCCCTGGTTGGATAATGAAGATACACACAGGACCACTTCTGCCACTGAAGACTGAGAAAAAACACCACCATCCCAAGTCACAGGTGGCCTGAAATTACAGACCTCTACTGCAAGTCTCTCTGGAGTACTATACCCAAGGACCTTCCTACCTCTACCCTGATCTATATAATACTCTGATCAATAGGCACCTCTCTTGTTCTATGGCAGCAAATTTCTGTGTCTCACTCCCCTTATCCCTGTGATTCAAATTCATTCTGCTGAGTTGGAAACCCTCTTTCCAGGGTAGACTTTATTCTCAATATTTCCCATCCAAGCCTTGCTCCCACTCAATTTCCGTTCACTTTTACCCTCCGTGCTCTGCATCACCCTCTGGAATCTATTGATACCAAATTCCCTTTTGTCTCAGTGATCTTCTTTTCTACTCTCCATTTTCTGGCACTCACAGGAACTTGGATTTCTCCCCAAAGACACTTCATCCCTCAATGTCATCTCCAGTGCTAGATGATCCTTCTCTTGAACCCTGTAACACCCAGAGCTGCCATTTTTCAGACCCTCACTCAGAAGCCTCTCCTCTTTTGAGGTTCACCTCATTTGTCTTATCACACTGTCTGGATTCTGTTTTGGGTAACCTAGCCTCTAAGTTATTCTCCCTCCTTTCTCTAGGAGTTCAGTACCTAACAGTCTTCTCCACTAAATCCTTTATGATGAAGTAATAGGGAGGAGCTGAGAACTCTTAACTTGCCTCCTCATGAACATGTCTACCAATCAGGATTGCCTTGCTTTTGCCAGGGAAGGTCCAAATAATGTCTGTCAGGCCATTCAGAAGGAAGACACACCTAACTTTAAAAGGCCTTGTTGGCCCTCTCTCTAGGTCTTTGAGTTTTCTTGGCAAAGATACTGGAGTGGTTTTCCATTTCCTTCTCCAGCTCATTTAACATATGAGGAAACTGAGGCAAACAGGTTTAAGTGACTTACTCAGGGCCACACAGCTAGTAAGTGTCTGAGGCCAGAGTTGAACTCAGGAAGATAAGTCTTCCTGACTCCAGACCTATTGATCTTTCCACTGCTCCATCTAGCTGTCCTTTTCTTCTCCCTTACTGGGGAAATAATATACGTATTTCAACCATTTAAGGGACTTTCATTCAATCCTTCCTTAGTGAGGTGGGGCAGAAGGGTTATACTAATGAGGACTCAACCTGAACTTGGGAAAGTGCACAGAGGGCAGGAATACAAATGCAGTCATTGAGCCTCATCATTTTCTTCTGCATGGGTTAGTTACATTAAAGGCTGTCTCACTGGGGCTCTAGTAGACACACTCCATGCCCTCCAAAAGGCAACAGGACAGGGGCACAGCCTCACCATCCCCCTTTCCCTTGACTGGAGGCTTTACATACCCTTACTATTTGTCTTCTCTCTACTGGGTTTCTAAATCAGAATTGAAAGCAATGAAATGGTGACTTAGGCAGATCTTAGCCCAATGTATGAAACAATTGACTCTCCAAAGCTTCCAGGTTTTCCCATCTGAGATTAAGAACAGATATAATGTCTATGTTTTCAGGCACTTGAAGGGCTCCCATTCCCCATCTTTCCCCCTCTTCTCCTACTCTCCCTCAACACTTAGAGATGTCTGCAGTGGGAATCTGCTGCGTCAGGAGGACAGCATGTTCTCCATTATTGGAGGACCCAAAGCAGAAGTTGGATAGCCATTGGACAGGAAGGCTGTAAGGGAGATTGCTGTATTTGTACAACTGGGATTAGACACTGAGATTCTGTGGAGGAAGGAAAAAGAAAAGTCTGGGCCAAGCTAATAGTGCCTATAAACACTGATCTCAGAATTGGTGGGGGATGGGATAAGGCTGTGAAAGAAAGAGAAAGCAGGGAGGGGAATCGGAGGTGCAGATGAAGTGGTCTTCTTAGGCAGCCTGGCAACCGTGAAGCCCATCCATACTTATCTTTCCTGAGGTCATATCTTCAGCCTTCAGCTCTCTTCCCTTTCTCATAATAACTCTAATCCCTGGTGCTTTTGGGAATGTTCTCTGCCCATCCCCTTCCTTGGTTTTTCCCCCTGGGTTTCCTATAGAAGTAACTCCTACCCAGCCTTTTAGGTCTGGCCTAGTAGTGATCAGCATCTGTTTACAAAGACACAGGTTCTAACAAAAGCCTAAGAAAATACCCAGACCTGGGGTCTTAGTAAGCAGAAACATGGCCCAATGATGTTAATCCTAATCCCATCTCCACTTCTACCTCTTTTTGTGTAGATATGGGGACAAAGGAATGTGAACCAGACTCCTTCCATAAAACTTGTATCATGTGTTAATAAAGGACACTGCATTCATCCTATGTCTTCATTCCCCAGAGTATTCAAGACATCTTGAGCAAGTATTTTCCAACAATGGGCCAGAACAGGAGGAGGGGGATGGGAGAGAGAAAGAGGAGTGAGAATGGAAACAGAAACAGAGCCCCTTGGGATCTAAAATGGCCTTGGATTACACAGTATAGATGATGTTGTCCCTAGAATCCTCAAACTCCCCATCCTCTGCATTGTGAGGTTTTGATGCATTCACCTCATATTAGGTATTCAGAATCATAAATTTAGAGCTGAAAGGGACCTCATGGGGGGGGGGAAGGAAGGGAGGGGTAATGTAATTTGTCCAAGGCCATTGGGTAAGTGACATAATTTACATTTGAACCCAGGTCCCCAGCCTTAAATGTTTCTCAGAATCCCCAATAATATGCTGAAGAGTAGATTGAGAGATAGGAGACCAAGGAATCTGATATTAAAGATGCCCTTGCTTGTCAAACCTCCTCATCTGGCAGAAGGGGAAATAAAGAACTCTAAAAATATAGAATATCAAAGCTGGGAGGAACCTTAAAATTGGAAGGTGCCTTCAGTTGTAGGACTCTTCTGCTCCAGATACACTTCATTTTGTCCAGGGGGAACTATTTCCATCCCCATTCCATGATTCCTTAAATATATTTGTCATGTCAGGACTTTGCTGTGAGTTATTTGGGTGAAGGGAATTATGATTTTCACATTAATCGATATGACATATGTAATGAATATGCTAATTTAGATTTCTCAAGAGCTGCCTCTCTGGCTCAGGAGCCAGAACTTACAATGTAGGTTGAAATGATCAGTCAAACCCTTGACTATGCTCTCACAACCACTACATTCTTGTGAAGCGAATCAAAGATTGTAAAATCTGTTCCCATCACAGAACTCTGATTCTGTGTGTGTGGAGGGGAGAGTTTGGGGGTGGTTATGACCCCCAAAGACTTGAGTCCAGAATTGTTGGGCTGGTCGAGGGAAAGTATTCAGGCCCTGGGAAATGATTGTTTGTAAATCACCTTTCCTCTTCCTTTCCCACCTGTGATTTAGAGAGCATTCCTCACTCTCAAATTGATTAATTAAACCACTACTTGATTACTGGCAGTGCTGTCTCTAGGCCTGCTTGTGCAGCTCTGAGCATTCCCACATTAGTGAGACTGGCTCAATAACATTTGGCAGGAAAAAAATTTAAGTGACCTGCCCATGGCATAGATTCTAAGTCACAACTACAAGGAGCCCCCAACCTAGGTGGGAAAATATGAGGCTAAGAGGATTTTTTTCCATTACACCAGATTCCCTCTCAGAATTATCGATAGCAACAACTATGATAATAACCACTTACATAAAGCTGTAACATTCAAAAATTACTCAAACATTACCCACAGGAAATCACTTGTAGAGTTATTATACTATTCCATTGGAAATACGCCCCTGGTAGAATGTCAGGGCCCTGTCACCCATCCCAGAGGCCAGTTCCTGTTTCAGACCTCCCCTAACAGAGGGGATCTTATCCTCTTTTGTGCATCATAGATATCTTTGGCACTCTGGGGAAGCCTATGGATCCTGTCTCAGAATCATGTTTTTAAATACATAAAATATTCAAGATTATAAAAGGTAACATTATATTGAAGCAGAGATGTAATTTTTCCCAATCATGTTCATGGATCCCCTGAAATCTATTCATGGACTCTTGTTTAAGATCCATTGCTCTAATTTTTAAATTTTTAGGCAATTAGGGTTAAGTGACTTGCCCAGAGTCACACAACTAGTAAGTGTCAAGTGTTTGGTCTGACGCTGGATTTGAACTCAGGTCCATCCTAACTTCAGGGCTAGTGCTCTATCCACTGTGCCACCTAGCTGCCCCTAAGATCCATTGCTCTAATAAGTACTTAAAGAGAAGATTTTCTGCTGGGGTTGGGAACCTGATCCCATTTGTCCCTCAAATTCCTCTCTCCACTGGGTTTGGCTTGCCATAGTGTGGCTTCCCTTCTCTATTCTGGAATTTCTGCCTTTAAAGTAATTTCTTAGCATTAGTCTCCAAAAATGAGGATGTCTACAAAAACCCTGATACCCTAATATGGTATAGTGGAAATTATGAGGTTTGAGGGAATACTAAAACTATTGAGGGTCACAGTGTCATCTGGAAAGAATTCTTGGACTCAACCCATCTTCCAGTCAAGTGGCAAAAGTTTATTGTGATGCTTATAAAGTGGGCAGGGCTCATTAGGAAACTGGGTAAAATCCCTGCTCAGTAGATACAAAAATTTCTTTTTCCTTTGACAACTGACCACTCCCTTACCACTCCTGAATCCTGCCTGAAACCACCTAATTAGCATACTTGGTTCACCATTCACTGAATTTTTTTTCCTATATAATCTTTAACATCACCCCTGTTAGGTTACAAGTTCCTTAAAGAACATTGCCTGTTCTTGTAGCATCATAAT